CAAACAAACAAACAAAGCCACACTATTATAGACGGTATTTACGTGATGTTTGTTATTCTAGCCAGGTGAGTTGCCACACTATTATAGACAGTATTTCCCCATTATAACAGTGACTTCTATGTCAAACTTTCTTTGTGCATGTTAATATTTTATTTTTTGGTTCAAATTTCCCTTCTCGTCCTACAGCGTTCTGGCTTCCCTTGGTCTACTGGAAGACAGTAGTGTCATTATGGTGTCAAGCATGTTGTTATCTCCGTTAATGGTAAGTTCACGTGAAAACGTTTTAAAATGTAAACAATTGTTATTTCAGTTAAGAATGTTTACAACAATTAAATATAATAATAATAATAATTCAAATCTATATGCAAGAGTATTGGAAATAATTATGGAAACACTCGAGCGACATATATATTTAGGAGTTAGAAATAATTAGAAAGTGCAATTAATTGGCTAATTTATCAATATTTCAATATAATACTGAAGAAAAGCGAGTAATTGTGTAATGAACTAATATTTGTTGCTTGCTATAAACCGAGAAATACAATTTGTTTTATGCTATTGACTGTGAAATCTGCTGCATTATACCCCACAATTTAGCCAAGTTGTTTAGCTGCTATATAACTTCCTCATTTTCCATACAAGTCTAGGAAGTCGTAATAATATTCATATCGGGACTTTGTACAGGCCAAACCTTGGTTGAGAATGTTCCATCGGCGCCTTTTACCTCGAGGTATTATTTGACCACGTTAACTGCAAGCGATCACTGTCTTGCTGGAAATAATTTGATTTTACCTGTCAGTAGTCAGGGTGCCATCAATTTTATATAGATCTCTTTATATAGATCATACTTGTATTGGTCGTCCAGCATGGTTCACAGTAGATTTCGTTCTCCTCTCAACCATCAAACAAACTATCTTTGTTTTTTGACAATTTGAATTTGTATTCACCTCCTCCAGCTTAGTTCAGTCCATTGTTTGAAGTCTGGTGCGTTTTTTTGGCTTGTTTCTCTGCCTTAAACAGCTACACACCCACTGAGGCCTATCGCACTAATGTGCAGTTACACAGCCAGTGAGGTCTATCACCGTAATGTACAGTTACACACCCAGTGAGGCCTATCACCCTAATGTATATCTTCTGGAGTTAATATTCACATCTACACTTACTGTCAAGATCTCTACTAGACTATCATGTAAAGAGTGTATCCTGAATTACTTGGCATCATTTTTGTATAGTTATAAGTTTTCTCTCTTGGCCCTTTTTATTGCCAACAGTATTGGTTTCACTTACCTTCTTCGGAGTTTCCATACACTTTTTGCTGCAACATGAAAATTCGCTTCAAGTTCAACCTGTCGGATGGTGTAGGCAAATTTTATATGCTGTGTTTCTGCCCTGAGATTTATGAGTGAATTTGCCATACTAGTACTGGGACTAACATGGATGTTCGTACCTTTATAGATATTATGCTGGTGGCATTCTCTCTGATTGATTGGATGACAGGTAAAAGTATCAGCAGGTGACTGGTTAAGTTCATTTTCGTACAGAAGAGTATGTGGGGGAGGGGGTGGCAAACACATAATATTTGCATTTTATACCTGCCTTAGTCACTGTTTTCATACTTATTTCCAGTATTGTCTATATCGATTCAACACTAGTGACTTTAAAAATTTCAAGTATTTCTAAACTTTATCAACTGGTAGTGAAAATGAAACATAATTGTATCAGAAAATGTTATTGTTATGCTGTTGCATTACTCAATATTCAAAAGTGTTACTTTACACTTACTTTTCGGAAGATTATTCTCAATTATCGAGATGTCAGAGAAATTACCTTGCTAAGAAAGTTTTCTTTTAAATACTAGGATCCCATCGCTGCGGGAACGTTTGGGTTTATCATAAGTGATCACGAACTACGAAACATGGGATTGATCAGTGAGCTGATAGGCCTAGGAATATGTACCGTTTTTGGTAGGTTTTAGTGTTATTTAAAGGGGCCGTTCAGCAATTGCGAAATAACTTAACCGTAAAATTTGTGAAATGAAGAATTTTTAAGACAAGTTTTCCACCATTATGTATCAATAAAAAATAAATATATGGTCTACCTCAGTCAACATAAAGGAAGGGTAATGCTAATGTAACAGATGATCGAACACTGTTTTCTTTTTTGTTAAGCACAAAGTTACACAATGGGCTATCTGTGCTCTGCCCACAGCGGTTATCGAAATCATATCTTTAGCGTTGTAAGCCTTAGACTTACTCTTGATCCACCGGATGCCGCTGATCAATGGAGCTGATACTGAGTGATGGGTCTAGAATCATGCAAGTCCTTTGGAATATCAGCGATAAGGTTATAGCGCTAAAATTTGGGATATGTTTCCTCGTGGTGAAAAAGCGCAGATAGTCCAGTCTATATCTTTGCGTAGAAACGTCAACGGGAATTTGTATGTTCTTTTTTGTCAAGACACACACACAAACATTAGGATTAACTTTCGTCAAGGGTAAACAATGGAATTGATAGGCCTAGGAATGTGCACTCTTTCATTTTTTTTTTTTTTTGTACAACCAATAATTACCCTATGATGAAACCTAACACAGTTCGTGAAATTAGTCGAAAAGTTTAATGAGTGTTAAATTCAGGGGCGCCATCTAGGAGGAACAGAGGAAAGTTGCCGCTTTTCCAAGAAATTAAATTACGGAATTTGTGGCGTGTTTCATTCGTTAAACATAGGGTGTAATCAAAATAGGTTGATTTTACATTTTAATGTTGTCAAAATTTAACAGTTTCTCCAGACGCCCGCCCCAATGACTCAAATCTACAGCTGTATCTGTGATTATAATAGATAATAAGAGGGAATTCGTGAGTTACTTTAAGAATAATAGTGATATTTTTTAAATAATTATTCAGTGATGTAGTAGCTAAAGAATAAACTCCATTAAGAATTTAAATATGCGATGTGAGAACTTTAAACTAAGTGGACGTTCAAAGAATAATTTCTAACCCTAGTTTTATACAACTTGACAACAATAGCCATTATTACACCCTTTATTTCTAACCCTAGTTTTATACAACTTGACAACGATAGCCATTATTACACCCTTTAATTTCTAACCCTAGTTTTTTTATAACTTGTCAGTGATAGCTAGTATTACATCCTTTAATTTCTAACCCTAGTTTTTTATAACTTGTCAGTGATAGCTAGTATTACATCCTTTAATTTCTAACCCTAGTTTTATACACATTGACAATAATAGCCATTATTACACCCTTTAATTTCTAACCCTAGTTTTTTATAACTTGTCAGTGATAGCTAGTATTACATCCTTTAATTTCTAACCCTAGTTTTATACACCTTGACAATAATAGCCATTATTACACCCTTTCATTCTCTCTTTCTCTAGGATTTTTGTTTGGAATCACATTTGGGAACATCTATTTTCAATTTCGTTCACACAGCAAGCTATTAACTCAGGAAATACTCAGCAGGTGTGAATGGAGAGGACTCTGGGTAGGCCTGTTAACCGCATTGCCTTCGGGTGCGGGCGTCGCACTGTCTTTGTTAGCGGGTAACGCCGGGTCTCTCGTTGGCGTAGGAATATCGGCTTCACTGTTGGGTCCTGCAGTGAATGCGGTGAGTTTAAAGTAACATTCATTTCATATTTCTCTCTTTTTACTTCCTTACGGTTTTTTTTCTTTAAGATCGAATTACTTAGATCAAAGAATGCTCTTCTTAATAGATACTATAAATTATTATCAGCTTGTATCAAACACCGGAAGAGGCTCTAAATATTTTCAAAATATTCTGTAAAAAAAGCGATACCACGTATCATGAGTGGAACTTTCTTAAATATAAAACCTTGAACAACAACCAAATTCACAATTTTCAGTTTCCTTACTCCTTGCACTTACTATATAAAGGCCTAGTCTGAAAGATGAGTAACTTGACCCGTACACTGTACAAGACATCAATGTAATTTGTAATGAGAGAAAGCTTAACAATTGTTTCAAAATAACACCACTTGCATCGCACTGGGACGACATGTAGGGCCCAGTCGTGTGTGGAACTGTAGGATCAATGTTGGTAAGTTTACAAATACTTATTCCTGCTTATATTATTCTTATACGATCGCCATACACGTAACATTCGTGTTTGAAAATAGGGCGGATCTCGTTCTAGCTTCTTTTCAAATAGCGTCATCTGGGTGCAACGTGAAAGGCGAGTTGTGTAAAAAAAAATGTTTTGTTCACCATGTCGTTGATATATTGAATGCGTTCATATAGCATAGCATGCGAGCTGGACGCATATTGTTCCTGGTTAGGGGCGGAATGAGCCTTGCTGTTTGTCTGGTATACAGGCCTGCCTCGTGAAGTCTGTTTCTAACCATCTATGCATTAACTAGGCGTTCAGTTGAGGCTAGGGACATCTGGCTCAGTCTCGGAGCAGGTGTCATCCGATTACTTATGTTGTACATGAAGAGCTGCCATACCCTGGTGTCTGAGCAACTGTACCGTTAGTTTAAAAGTGTCCGTACATTCTGTTAATGACAGTTTGAGACATCTGTCGCTTGTTGTAGTTGATTACTCGCTACGTGAGGTTTAATTGTGAATTCGTGGTTCACAAGCGGTTTAGAAAATCTTAAACTCTGTGACTAGGCTGTATGATACAACTGTAGACTGAATGAACAAACTGAGATCAAGTGACTGATTATCATTTGCTTAATTTGCATAACAGCGAACTGAAAGGGGTGATTGGCGTTGTTTTATTTCTTATTTAGCGCCTGTCGTGATAAATAACACGATTTTCTTTGTATTTCAATAACATAATAATAATTCCGCGAATTTCATTCATTTCAGGGCCTTCTCTGGGCATTCGCATTAATAGCATCAATAAAAGAGGTAATATTTTTTTCTCTCATTACATTTAATTCTCCTCCTAACTTAGTGTTTGAGTTTTTTCAATTTTGTGAATTGTGTAATAAGATTATAATAAACTTTTTGATTTTTTGATTGTACATAAAGCCAGTTCCTTGTGTGGTGTCGTTTATAGATTATTGTATGTCCACCAGTTTGTAAAACAATGTAACATTTTATCATAAAGACCAAGTGATCAGCTCAATGTTCCTGGTTATCTAGTAATAAACTACGTTTTTACTGCATTTAGTATAGGCAGATAATGCCGTTGGAATATTTCTGATGCCCCCATAACTTAAATTCCAGGCAGACACTCTCGTCTGTCAATATTTGATATTGAAAGAAATAAAAATTTGTGTTTTAACTTTTAAAAGTTGTAGTATTTTTAAGACCCGGCGGCTGGATGTGCGCCATCTACAGGTCATCAGGACTTACGTTCGGGGTAGGTCTCATAGGTGGCGGAATTACCCGTCTACAGGTCATAAGGCCTGGTGTTCAGGGTAGATCACATAGGTGGCGGAACTACCCGTCTACAGGGGATAAGGCTTGGTGTTCAGGGTAGGTCTCATAAGTGGCGGAATTACCCGTCAACAGGTCATTAGACCTGGCGTTCAGGGTTGGTCACATAGGTGGCGGAACTACCCGTCTACAGGGGATAAGGCCTGGCGTTCAGGGTAGGTCACATAGGTAGCGGAGCTACTTACTATTATGTTTAGCTTTAATTGTATTTTATTTTGTCACAGATTTTCATATCGATTTAGAATCTGAAACATTTATTTTTGGGGCGTAGAGGTGCAAGGATCTAACCTGGGTATTCAAGCCCCACCCCCATCATAGCGCCGACTCTGATGTACGCTAATCATATATTATTTTGACAACATTTCAAACTTTCTTTTCACCTCTAGGCATCATCGATCACAAGGAATTCAACCGTTAACTATCACACCGCTGTATACTTTGCTTCATCTGGGCTTACAAGTTTTCTCTTGACTGTTGTTAATATTGTGTGCATCATATTGTCGGCCATCTGCATGTTGCGGGTAAACACCTTCAGTAATTGTTATACTTAGAAATAAGTTTATTGTTGGTTCTATACGTCATAAAACACAGTAATTGTTATACTTAGAAATAAGTTTATTGTTGGTTCTATACGTCATAAAACGCAGTAATTGTTATACTTAGAAATAAGTTTATTGTTGGTTCTATACGTCATAAAACGCAGTAATTGTTATACTTAGAAATAAGTTTATTGTTGGTTCTATACGTCATAAAACGCAGTAACTGTTATACTTAGAAATAAGTTTATTGTTGGTTCTATACGTCATAAAACGCAGTAATTGTTATACTTAGAAATAAGTTTATTGTTGGTTCTATACGTCATAGAACGCAGTAACTGTTATACTTAGAAATAAGTTTATTGTTGGTTCTATACGTCATAAAACGGAAAAGTCAGATAAGTTATTTATCAGAATTTAAGGTTCCTAGAGATAGCTATCAGTGTTTTTAAATGACTAAACTCACCCCCCCCCCAAGAGTTCTTATGTGCCTTAAAAATTAATCATAGGGAGTTTTAAAATATCCGAAATTTAAATATCGGAGGTTTCTAAATGCCACAAGTCTAGGATATCAGAGTTTAGTTTCTAAATGTCACAAGTCTAGGATATCAGAGTTTAGTTTCTAAATGTCACAAGTCTAGGATATCAGAGTTTAGTTTCTAAATGCCACAAGTCTAGGATATCAGAGTTTTGTTTCTAAATGCCACAAGTCTAGATATCAGAGTTTAGTTTCTAAATGTCACAAGTCTAGGATATCAGAGTTTAGTTTCTAAATGTCACAAGTCTAGGATATCAGAGTTTAGTTTCTAAATGCCACAAGTCTAGGATATCAAGAGTTTAGTTTCTAAATGCCACAAGTCTAGATATCAAGAGTTTTGTTTCTAAATGCCACCAGTCTAGATATCAAGAGTTTTGTTTCTAAATGTCACAAGTCCAGATATCAAGAGTTTTGTTTCTAAATCTGGCCACCAGGGTTTTAAACGTACCAGAAACAGAAGTTCTGTTACAAAACAAGAGGAAATCCTCAGTAGCCGCGGCACTTGAAATTATTTTAGGCAGGATTAAAGTAAATTAAACTAGGAGACCTTTGGTGTGGCCAAATATATCAATCAAAAGGGTTTGACCTCCTGGGTAATTAGATCTCAAATTGATCAAGAGATAACAGAGCTATGAGCTAATAGTTCGTACTTGAAAAACTCTGAGCCATTCTATGAGCTGCTATGCTGCGGCTAAGTTAAAAATATATATATATTTTCCAGTGGTTTTGTATGTGAAACGTTTGCTGTAATTTAATGACATCGACATATGTGAGGTTTAATAAGCATGTCTTCACAGTGTCCGCACTACGGACGTTTTTCTATATCATTTTAATATTTATTTTACATAAGTAGAACGTTTTTCAATACACTTGTTTCATCCATCAGCGACGTATAAAAACAAAATGTACTGATAGACATGTATGTAGGTTCAAATTAAGCAAAACCTAAATGATATATATGATAACACTAAGCTCGGGAAACACCGAGAAATAGAATATACACATGTAAATCGTGGATTAAAATAGAGAATACGATGGAAAACATTTATAGTTGTTTAGGGTTATGAAGTACGGATTGTTAATTGAAACAGTTTTACTAGTAAAGACGTGTTCTTTATTTAGATCAGGGTGATTTTTTTCAGTCGTATGACTTTCTTTACAGAACTGTTCAAAGTCAGTAGGTCCAGTTGTATTTATGGAAATTTTGTTAATACGTACCTGATGACTTGCGGTTTCTTTATGTGATCGAATCACTCAAATGCTAGAGAGTCGTGGAAGATAAGGCCAGGGCCAGAATTACTGGATTATCTGTAAATTCTAGTTTTGCCTAGGAAGGTAAACTTACAGTCACTGCATGTGTGATTGTTTTTAAACACGAGTGAAGACAATTAGTCATCACGCTGAAACAACGTCTGGAGATAAGTCTCAGTCGAATCTTGGGTTAGAAGATGTTTTTATATAAATCTAAGGACTTGTTTTCTAATTTGTAAATTTTGAGAACCCCGAGAAAGTAGACAGATAAAGAGACGACAGTGTGTCATATCCTACAACAATAGTGTCTTACTAGGGGGAGATGCTTTTTGTTTTTAACCAGCATGATCACATCCAAATAATATTTCTTGTCTTCCTTACAGATAAAACAAGTCATTCCTACCTCAAGTCGATTTTGGAAAGAAGATTTAAAGGTTTGAACCTGATAATGTACATAACCATTTTATTGTTTGAACCTGATATTGTACATAACTATGTTATTGTTTGAACCTGATATTGTACATAACCATGAGTCGATAGCCAATCTTCCACTACTTATTTGTTGTAAAGAATCCTTAACCCTAACTATGTGTTGTAAAGAATCCTTAACCCTAACTATGTGTTATAACGGACCTCTTCACTCTTTATTGTGTGTCATAATGGACCTCTTTGCTTTTTATTGTGTGTTTTAATGGAACTTTTTACTATTTATTATGTTATAACGGACCTCTTCACTCTTATGTGTTATAATGGACCTCTTCACTCATTATTGTGTGTTATAATGGACTTTTCACTCTTTATTATGTGTTATGTATTAAGTATGGTCCAGGTCCACTTAAAAACTGTCGGTTTGTTCCAAATTTTGATGGATTGAACCCTATTTCACATAATAAGTTCTCGGGGTTACAATCTTTACTTTGCCGTTGTCTCTCTACTACACTTTAAGTAAGACTATGTGTTATGTTTCTATATATACACATACTTGAAATAAATATCGTGAAACGGTGAACTTTTCAGGTTGCGGAAGAACACAACAAACGTATATCCGGCGTAGGTAGAACAGTGTCAGAGGAAGTTTTACACGAATGGGCGGTAAGTTACAATATCTATGATTGGTGGAGATCCGTCTTTTCGGTGTTCTCATTGGTTCACCAGGTGGATCTTAAAGTTTTATTAACTATTATCTTTATTTGCTTCGTGTATCGTTTGATAAAACATTTTAAAGATAATAAATATAATTTCTTAATTTTATTAGAAAGTGATTAATTTGGATGAAAACCGATTATTTGAGGACACTCCAGAGTCGCAGAAGATCAGGTTGGATACACTGCGGGATATAGTGGAGGTAGGCAAGATTATTCGTTCAGTAAATATGATTTAGATCGGGGATTCTCTAACTGTGGTAAGGGAAAAAAAGATGATAAAATCTGTAACAATCTCAATCTAAGCCTCCCTTCTACACTCGCCCTTCGTCAGCGTTTTCTCCCCTTTAAACTGACAAAAGATAGTAACACATATTTTTCAACTGTGGTAGAAGAAAACAATCACACCTTAAATAGTTTTAGAACATAATAAAAGAGAGGGAGAAAATAAAAATGTTAACTTTGCTACGGATCCAAAATACTACAAATGTTCCTCAATTCTAATCACGAACCACTGCTCTGGAAGAAAGAAAACTACTTAATTTCAAACTAATTATAATTATCGTCTGAATAAAAATAGAGGTTCATGTTTTCCTCTTTGAAAGTTAAAACTAGGTTTCTTTTACCTACTACATATAAAACAAAAAGTAGGACTTAAGTTTCTAGGTTACGACATAGGCTCTTATTATTTTGTACATAATTAATGTAAAAACCTACACTAGGACTAGGTTTCTAATAATTATAGTATTTTGGCACTTGTGTATAAAGTTAAAATCATAAATAATATTCAACGT